AAAGGCTAATATAAACAATCCGTGAAAATTTCATGTATTTACGATCATTTGTTTTAGAGTTACGCCAAAAGACAAAACCGATTTTTTCAACAACTAATAATTCCCGTTTTTCCTTAATTTTTATTTTGTTTTTTAGGGCGCTTTTGAAAACAAATGGAAATTTGAAATTTCGACCTCCCAAAATTACCAACTAGATTAACTTTCCCATCTAACAAGATACTGAAATTGAACTAAGAAGAATCTACAATGAAACTATGTTATGTAACACAATAAAAACTATGATAACCCAGTAGGTCCATAATAATAAACTAAATAATTTATTGTATTTTGTAACCTAAAAGATCCTATTTAATTACAAAATTCTGGTTTGGTTTCGGTACTTTTTTTTAGTAAATAAAATTGTTCCTTCTGATTCTTAATTAGTTAAGGTTCCAATCCAAAACTGGTTCTATTCAGTTCATTTCCAGTCCCTGATTTAAAAGTACACTAACAATCTTAGTTTTTTTGCTGTAATTCAGAAATATTATTAGAAAATAGGCTTACCTATAGACCGTCTTCACCTAGAATCATTTTCGAATAACTACTTCTTACCTACTGTGCAGCAGAGTGGTATCCACATGCCTAAAATTCTTAGTAGTTACTAGTTACGTATTGTAACCTACAACTACGAACAAACCTTTCCTTGATCTCCATTGACTACATTGTAGTTACCACTCCAATCGATACAAACAGGTGCAACACCATTACTAAAAGAAACTCTGTCTTGCAACACAATAATAGCTATGTCTTCAGCATGAAACCTAGAAGGTCCATAATAATCTTCTTTCAGGTGAATCATTTCCACCTGTATAATTGTTTTAATTTATACCATGTCATACAAATTATTTTTAGACTATTGAGTTATTAATAACTTACTTACATTTTTTATTTGAGTAAATTCATTGTCAATATTTGTAAAATTTCTATCATATTTTCCAACAGTAATTTTGTATAGACCATCCGTTATTGATATATTCTTAGATAACATACCTTTTTGCCAAAAACAATGAGCCGCTGAAAATTATATTTATTTAATTTCCATTCTTTTTAAAATGCATTGTACAAAGGTTTTACCAGAAATTACTAAATTTGGAGAAATAATTGATCCTCCACATATCATGTCATAATTAGAATCTATTTTATTTAATTGATATATTCCAACATTCCATGGTGCCGTTCCAACAAGTGCTTTATCACCATTGTCAATCAATACGTGGTTTTTGACATATACTCTACCGCAATCTAAAATAAGATTTAAATATAATGTATGGTAATAATTACCAAGTACTTATTTAATAAACATAATAATGACAATTTAAAAATGTGAATCAAACGATTGTGCATAAACAACGATTATTTGCTCTTCTTTAATATCAAAGTATGTATCACAAAATAGTATTAACATAGGTACAGTAAAAATTATGTAAATGACTAATATAAATATATATATATATATAAATTAGAGACTTATGTTTATATGATAAAAATACAATTACATGGATTGCATCTATATAGTTGTTTATTCCACAGCCCATTAGACTGACAAAGTAATTCAGGTGAAATTTCTTGTTCATTTGGTTCAGTAAATGCTGACTTGCATGATGGTGTTGCTATTGTATCGGGTATCGATAAATTTGAACAATTAACAGACTTACCATTATGACTACATTTAATATCTAAACTATCTGATATTAGAGGTGGACACATTTCTATAAAAGTAAATGAATTATAATCAAACATAACTATACTTTATACTTGTATTATACAGTAGACGCCGCTTATATAAGACTCACGGATATAAGGTTCAGCCGCTTATTAGATTGAAAATCGTCTGGAATGGTCCGGACGTATCCAAATACCTACATTAAAAAAAAAATCGGTTATAAGACTCAAATTTCGTAAAATAAATAGTAGAAAATAAACTTTTTTGATTATAATTTAGAAATAAATTGGTATTGAAAAATTAAATAATATTCGTGTTCATTATTTCTAGTTTCTGTTGGTACCTTATAAACTATAATAGTTTTTATCACAGATAAAAGTTGATATTTATCGCAACAATTATCGTCATTATAGTGAGCTACATAATATCACCGAGGTACTAATTTCAATGTACAATACGAATACGAACAGTATATTTTCGGAATATTGGAACAAAGTAAAAAACAAACTAAAATTACAAATTTTTTCCAAAATAAATAATAAATAATAATAATTTTTTATTATTGTATAATTTTTATAATATTTTTATATGTAATATTTACCTATTATAATTTTAGGTTTTTTTTATCAGGACTATTAAATATATTCAATAATAACTAATAAGTATATAATATGTGTTAAAGTATTAAAATTAAAGCAAAATATGTAGTAAAATAAAATGTATAAATACGTAATTAATTTTTTTTTTCCTACTTCGTCTATAAGATTCATTCGGTTATAAGACTCACTTTGTGCTGGTCCCAAAGTGAATCTTATAAGTGGCGTCTACTGTATTGAAAAATAAAGAATTATTTGAATGAATGTTCAAAACTTACTGAAACACAATTTCTCAGTATTCGACAACCATTTTCCTTTTCCCTGACAAAATCTAAAACCTATAGGATAAGCCATATGATATCCAAGTTCACACTTCTCAATAATAGTACGATGATGATTAATTAATGTCCCATGAGATAAAATTTCATTAGAACCTTCATAATAATACAGAACTCCTTCGACAATTGGTAAAACGCATGAATTCTCAATGAACTGTCAAACCATAATATTATTGAATTATTATTATTATTATTATTAAATATTATTCGTTTTTTTTTATTAGAGTTGCTAAAAATATGTATTCTTTATAAAGTAGGTATTCAAGTTTTGAATCAGAAGAGTTGATTTAAAAACTAAGCCAATTCAATACATTTATTTATTAACAATTAAAATTGATAGGTACCAATAAACAGATATATTTACGCACGTGTTTGTTTAAGATTCCACGAATCCATTGAACATAATATTTAAGGTCTGTAAAACCTGCAAATATACGGTTATTGGAATCAACGGTGAAAGTCAATGCCCCGGTTAAATAATAAGAATTTGAGTGTAAAAAACTTATGCCTGTTCCAATATTTTTAGAAAATAATGTTCCTTGTTCTGAAAAAAAAAGTATTCTTTTAAATATAAGACACAAAATAATCATATTTATATTGTTAGGTAATGAGTGCATAGGTTTAGGGGAACACGGTGCAAGACGAGACACCCAATGTTTAAAGCATTCTATAGTATGTTGAATTTTCTAAAAATTCTTAATTTATGCACCATTTATAAGTCAAACTTCCTTAGTTTTATAATTGTTCACATTAAAATATTTAAAAATATTATAGATATCAAAAAAATGTTTGAAAAAAAAAAAACGGGATTTTTCCCACCTTACCCACAGCATGGGGTAATATGTGACAGATAAATGCCCACTAGATATATTTTTTCAAATATATGATCATAGGTAGGAACTTATTTATAAGAATTTTACAAAAAAAAACACATTTATATTAAGGGGATGTCAGCGCACAATATTTTGTTATCTCTCTCTAGCCCACGCGCAACATAAACAAAACGCATTTACGCAGAATAATTTTCCTATGTTTTTAAGTAATCTTAGAGTAAAATCACTCTTTACAAAAAAAGATAGAGAATAATAATTTTGAGGGAATGTCATATCGATTTGTCTAAATATTGTCTCAAAGCAATTTAAACATCATTTAAATGTACAACTTTTTTTTTTGTTCATTTTGAAAGTCGAATACAAAGTCAAATAACAATAAAATATAAGATCGATATGTCATTCCCTCAAAAATATTATTCTTTATCTTTTTTGTAATGGGTGATTTTACTCTAAGATTACTTAAAAACATAGAAAAAATGACTTCACATGTTTTATTTTAGAGCCAAGCTTTGGTAATACTTGAACAGAACCTCACATGACTTGTCTCATTTTGTCTCAGAAAGACTAATTAACCTTAATTATTAAATATTTAATCAAATTTAATAATAATACATAATACTTAACTACGAAAATGTATAAATATATTAGAATAGTATTCTTTAAGAATTTATTAATTATTGTTGCCTTAAAATAACGTAGAATTTTAAACAAAATAATTCATTTTGAGACGAAAATCAAAAAACACTGATATTTACTAGCATCAAAATTACTAAAAACAATCATCTAACTTCCCTTCATAAAATATTCCAAAAAGGTAACATATTTTATTTATTTAATTTATTTATAAATTAACGCTATTCGACTTTTTAAACATTATAGTGTGTTTAATAACAGCAAGAAGAATTTAACAGTGATAAATATTTAAACTTAAAATCCATAAAAACGTAAAGGAGGGACAACCTAACCACCAATCAAAACACGCCATTCAAAAACATACTATCATAAGGGCTTGGAAATCAAACAAACTGTCCCAAGCACCCAATTTACAGCAGAGTATTAGTTTTTCCAATTATTAAGAACATTTTTAAAATATTTTACTTTTAACCCCCAAAGTACCAACTACCTACATACAATCAACTATCAAAAAGCTCCATCATAGTTAAATTTGAATCATTTTTACTGCTCTAAAGTGTGTAAAGAAGAAGAAAAATAAAAAAATAAATAAATAAAAATCAATGTAAAATTAATACTTTCATCGCTACGATCAGAATCTAAACTTGTATTACCCAATGTAAAAATTGTACAAAACTTATCATGAAAAACAAAATTGGTGAATGCTGGTTGACGTATTTTTCGACAGTTCTTAATTCGAGAATGGAAGAAATCTTTTCTAATTGAACAACTGTTGCCCACTGTCTCCACTATCTCAAAACGTGAAATCTTTAAGATTATTGAAACAATTTTATGTATTAAGTCATATTTTAATAAGTATAAATTTTTGTTAATTACCTGCTGTATAAATTGAGGCGTCATGTGGCACAGTCAGCAATCTCCACCCGCAGTGATTTTGGCAACTGTTCAAAAAAACTGTTTTACTATTCTTGTATTTTTCATGATATTTTTCTTTTCGTTGGTTGATAGTGGAGCTTGGGTTATTCCCTGTATTCATATAATTGTTAAACGTCAAAACATAAATAATAAAGGAGGGAAAATGGCCTTTGTCAAATTTGCCGCGGAAACCCAAGAAGAACCCACGGAGATTGCCGCTTTGTACGTAGAAACGCATGAAGATTGCCTCATTTGCCACAGAAACGTAGAACATGTATTATATGGTATTATGATTGGAGATTGCTCTCTTTGCTGCGATCAGCTAGTATTAAAACGTTTTATCTCGATGGGCGATTATATGTGATAAAAATCAGCTTCACCAATCGACGCAGAGTAAAACGTATTATATGAATGTGATCAAAACATTTATTAAAAAAAAAGTGGAGATTGCTGACTTTGCCACGTAACGCCTCAATTATTACAATACAATTCAATTTTAAATGAAAATAAATAAAAATATATAGGTGTATATGATATTATATCATATATGTATATAATTAATAATTATAATAAAGGCATATTAATATCGTGTTATTTATATGTTGGTAAATAATGAAATTCTATTAGTTCAATAAGGTCTGACTAATCAATGTTTTTAATTTTGGAAAAGAATCGAATTTTAAATAAGAATAGTGTATAGTCATCTTACGAAAGTTTTTTATTCACGGCCCAAATGTAATTCCTAATACTTAAATAATATTAATTATTATACTTACAGAACTCATAGGATGTATTAAGGATGTGGAAAAAGGTATAATGTAGCCCATTGGCCATTTTGTTCTTATCGATGGCTAAAAAGCCAAAAGTTGTAAGTCCAATTTTTCACAAAATCGTTTTATAAGGTTTAAGTCAATTGGGTTAATCTGGGTCGTCTTTTTGATTCGGTAAAACATTATAAGTCAATATAATAATGAAAACAATATTACAACGGATAATTTGTTAATAATGCAGAACTTAATATAAAAGTAGTTTTAAGTGGGTTTATTTTTAAATTTGTACGTTCTTCGTAACAAAGTTGTGGCGTAAATTAACTTAAAGGGGCTTAATTCACATAATTTCTTGTAAACAGTTCGTTTTCGGAATTTATTCTTAGTTCATCGTATTGAAGCTATCACCAAAATGTATTAGTTTGTGTGGATAACTTAACCATAACCTCACATTACTTTCTATAAATTAAATTAGACAACTAATCTCAAAATCTATTTTATGTACTTATTCAATAAAACTACAAACTATAGGTATATAGTAGAACAAATTTACCTTTCCTAGATCTCCATTGTGTACCTTATATTTACTATTCCAATCGATACAAACAGGTGCAAAATCATTACTAAACAAAACTTTGTTTTCCAACACAATAACAGCTACATTCTCAGCATGAAACCCTTCTTCTCCATTATAAGCTTCCTTCACGTAAACTTTTTCCACCTTTTTAATTGTTTTAATTCATATTTTACATATCATACAAATTATTTGTAGACTTTGAATTAATAATAGTTTACCTACATTTATTATTCGAGTCAATGATTGATTATCATTGTCAACTATTATTTTAGCTAATAATTGATTATTATTAACAACTATTTTAGGATTTATATTATATTTTCCGAAGGCAACTCTGAATCGACCCTTTTTCACTGATATTTTATGAGATAAAAATCCTTTTTCTTTAGAAAAACATCGAGCCACTAAAACGTAATTCGATTAATTGTCATTCCTTCTTAAATACATTGTACAAGGATTTTACCAGAAATTACTACATTTGGAGCAATAATTGAACCATCGCAAAAATGGTAACCAACTAAAGAATTTTTTGATATCCTTTTATAATAATATATTCCAACACTCCAAGGCTCTCCTTTAATAAGTGCTTTATCATCGCCGATCAATACAGGGTTTTTGACAACTGCTCTACCACAACCTAAAAAAATATTAGGTACATCGTACATTAGAAGTAATATTAGAAGCTCTATATTTATTTTTATGCGTAACTCTGGCATAGTGGCATTTCATTTTTTTACACAAACAAAAAAATTATATTAAATGTCATATTATAGCAATATTATTTTTTACCCGTGGTCATATTTGTTCCATGTTCGTATAGAGCACACAACTCGTTGGTCTCGTCTAAACCATCTGAACAATCCTTACGACCATCACAAACCCACGACCATTCAATACACAGTTCATTTGAACAATGAAACTTATCCGTGTTCCTAAAGTTTTCAAAAGTGCAAAAAAATATTATTTAATATTAATAATACAATTATAAGAAAATTTGAAAGGTGCCCGGAAGTATCTATTATTACTCGTATTGGAGCTTACCTGCAATTGCGCTTAAAATTACCTTTTCATATACCTATAACCTATAACACCAAGGCCCCGCCCACCACTATTTTAGTCACTTATAACTGCAAGACTGGGCATAAACGAGTTAAAAAGTTTAAGTTTAGTTAGTTTTAACTCTTTAACTTAACTTTTTTAAATGTAATATTCATAACTTAATTTTTAACTTAATCGATTTTTAGTGATATAATAAGCTTAATAAATAATGACTTAATCAAATCCTGAAATCCAAGTTACTTACGTTTGTTTATATAAATAATTAAATAATACCTAAATATAGTAAAATTATTATTGATGATACATATATTTGCATAAACATTAACTTTTTCTTATTTTAAACATATAACTGGCTATTTGTTTATTAAAACAAATAAATAACTTAACTTAAGCTAATAAATGAATTGTAAGTTTTCATAAATCTTTAACTTAACGGAGTTAAAAAAAAATTATGATCACTATTAATATTAAACTTTTTAAAATGTTTTCTATCAACTTAACTTAACTCAATTAAAAATTATCATTAACTTGCCCAGGCATGCTTATAAGTTATAATAACATTGTATTTATTTATACTACAATCACCAACACAGAGCAAGATGATACAGCTTGTCGCTTATCGAGTTTTCTGTCACACAAAATGCCGGATCCTGAAATAATGATTTTTCAAGCATTAAATACGTAAACAACATTCAGTGAATATATACTACAGTATAATGTCATAAAAACATGATTTTCTATTTATTATTATGATTTATGGGTACCTATAGTTGACACTGGTATTACTTACCGAAAACTAAACATGAATATGTTATCCAGGAATACGTCACTTTCATTGCTAATGGTAAGCTGAGACTAAAGCAAATATATTTAAAAATATAAGCAATAATACACTAAACAATATTTTACAGCACTTTTTCTAACATATATAAGGTATGGGAAAATATACTGTGATAATATTATAATATAACTATGTTAAACACTGACAATATATCTGTACTAACACAACTTCATAATACCAGACAGGAGACAATATTAGTCGGGTCATCTATAATCTATACTACTATATCTATCGTGATGCTGGTATACCATCGATGTCAATAATATTATGCCCCTCCTACCGCAGCTATATTCGATCACATTATTGACCGAAGGACAAACTACGTAGATTATACGAAAATACGACGATCGAAATAATTTTTTTTTTAATTGATGATGTAGATCCTTAGGTTTACTAAACACATGCATTATGCAAAACAATTTTTTATGTTTAAATTAAAATGTATACAAATAATTATATACCAATCCGCCCGTGAGCAGTAGCAGTACAATTACGTAGAAGCGTGATAAATGATATGATATGTCCGTGAGGTTTGAGAAAAAAATATAATTTTTTGTATGTAAGAACCAAACTTGGTGTATACTACGTTTGAAGTTAAAAGTCCCCAAAGAAATTTTTACTTCACAGTACTTCTTGGCATACAATGGTAAAAGTCAAAATACAGTAATTTCCCGCTTGATTTTCTACGTCCTGTAGGTAGTCGTTTTCGGTTGTTACATTAGCTAAAATGTGTTTGTTAGACGAGTTTCCATTAGAGGTGGTTGCCCATGGAATGTTTGTGAGTTGCGTATTATAAAATAGCTTATTTAAAATCTGTAATATTCATACACAGAGTGTATCAAAAGTCTTCATCCGATTTCAAACATTTATATTTATTTTAAAAATGAAAATAAAAGGGTGAAATAAAGTAAAATATGTTCTTAAAATAGGCAAGTTTTATTAATCAGTCAAGCATTAATACATGGGTTGCTAACTTGCGATTAACCTCTGCCGAACTATGATATCAGTTCATGATCGGATGAAGACTTTTGAAACATCTTGTACAATACAATAAGTAAATTTGATAGCTAATACATAATATGAAATGGCGTGAGGCGAGGATGGCCCACCAGTGTGGACTTGGGGTAGAGAATTTTATTTTATTTTTTTAAATTAATGCAGGTCAGGATTCAGGAGATTTCCAGTATCTTTTTAATCGACATGAGGGTTATTTGGAATGAATTCACCGGCTGAGCTAGAAATCAATGGATTTGTGTGGTTAACTGTTTTGGTGTGGAATTTTTAATAGTAATTTTCAGCTGTTTTAGAGATTGTTTCGATTTTAAGATCTTTATGTAGTGAGAGTTTTGAGGCGTACCATGGAACGGATGTTATTTGACGAAAGGAAAATTTTACGAACTGGAGAGCTCATAAAATTAATACACGGATTATAATATTAATTTTTAAGGGGGCTGCAACGTAGTATATTTTAAGGAGTACTATTTAGGCAATTCATGTGACATATACATTAATACTGTACTATGTGTGAGTACTGAGTAGTAAATGCACATTAGTGAGCGTAATCCGTTATCGGTCCGAGAATCGCTGCACGTCGAAAAATGAAATATATTCTTGTTTTCATGACTTTAAAAACTACTAAAAGAGGTAGTAAATTAATCATACTTCCCGAAGTTCGATTGTAATTTCGAAAATATTGTTGAATTTATAAACTTCTAGACTATGCTTCTTAGGAATCACTTTTTTTAATTTAAAATCAGATGTGCCCAAAATCAATACAAATGTAATGCAATTATTTCATGGGATTTTTTCACGTTTGTGACTTTTCAGTTTCATCAGCAGAATGTCTACCTTTGACCAACCATGAGCGTATATATTTTTCAGGACGAAATTCAGTGAGTGAAGGGCCAACACAATTAACAAATAAAAGTGCAAAGACTGTACTAATATTTAATGAAGATCTGAAGGGTGTTATAATTTCATTCAATTTGTTTTTACAAAAAAAAAAAAATGTTTCAAACAATAATTGAAATGTCTATTTTGTTTCAATTATTTTAATACAAAAGGTATAATATAATATTATGATAATGTATTCAGTTCCACAAGCGTTAAATGTGCTTATTAGTTTATGTTACATTACAATACATTTCACATAATATTGTATAAATAAATATATAGATAACACCTACCATATCATATAAAAATATTGTATCGTGTATAATATTTAATTTAGTAGGTTATTTGTTAAGAATACCCACTTCATTAAAAATAAAAACAGGCAGTTTCCGTAAAAAAAAATTCTGTAAGAAAAAAGGTATAAAAAAAAAAAAAAAAAACCGCGATCTTATAATATGACTAGGAATGAAGTAACAATAATAGACACACACGACTTACGTTCTATTGACTAAAAAAAATGTTTGTCCAAAAAAAGGTTTAAAACACCGTTTTGTATAAAATAGCTAAGAACTCTTCAAATATTATATTGTATGAATTATTATAACGACACGGCTGATTTCTAGAACAATACATAATATCATATTAACAAACGTGTAAATTTGTTCGAATGTCTGCAATAAAATATATAAAGTAGATATTTCTGAATAATTTAGGCACTTACCTATTTAATTTTTCGTTAAAACTTCACCAAAATATTTAATCGAATATTATTATGTCATAACTACTTTTATTACTATAAGGTAAAGCATTGACATTATACTTGATCATGAACAAAGTGAGTGTATTTCGTAAAAATAATATTATTAATTCGATTAAATAATTCAGTTTGTAAAATATATATTGTATAGATAGATATAATATTATGTAGTATATAAAATGTAAAATTATATACCAAATACACGAAATAATAATATACAAAGTGTTTTCCCAGAACTATCACAATCGGTAGCGTATCCAGAATTTTTTTTCGGGAGGGGTTATAATTTATTTTCGTCGAATTTTATCTGAAAATGATTCATTATAATGATAACGTTGTTATAGTTTAACAATTTTATGGATACGCCACTGATCACAATTATTATACATAATATACGTATAATATTATTGTTCAAATAATATCAACCTTGTGGTCTCGATGGTAAACAAAAATAAGCCGCTAAATGTTCGGTTTCGAGTTGTAGTAATGTAACGTGGAAGGCGGCAGGACCCATTGCGAAGCTCTCAGTTCGATCAGATGGAGAAGGGTCTTTTTCACGGACGCCGAACAGTCTCGGGTCAGCATCACGTCCCTGATGGACACGTACAGTTGTTTCAAAGTGTCCGGGACCTCTTGTTCCAGGTCTCGTCCAATGCCGTCCACGATGTTGAATAGACATTCGACCTGAACAGCATATTTTTATATTAGTCGACATTCAGACCTGAATACGTTACTACGTATAACAAAGGGCCAACGGTGCGGGGAGGAGCATTAATTAGTTTTAAAGCTGACACCAAGTTTAAAAGTTAATTTTGTTCAAACTTTTTAACTCGACTAGTCTGTCGGTTTCTCGTAATTAACTAATGATAACTTAACTAGTCAAAAGATGCATTGTAAAAACTTAACTTTTTCAATTAGCGTGAAAGTTAATACGCGAAGTTAAAATCATGCTTATATACACGTCATCTATTATCATCTATTATTTTGTTCAATCACTATCCAGTCCTATCCAGTCCTATCCAGTATATGAGATTATTTTAAACTCATAGGAAAATATAAATATGCCAATACCTATAAATACATATGCATTGGTTTAATAATTTAGTCGAAACAAATGTCTAATTACCTAAACCTCAACAATTGCTATTGAGAAATATATATGAATAGTACAGGATGCATTTTTAACAAAATAATAAGTTAAAATTTGAAAAAAATAGATATTTACACAATATCTATATACATGAGTGGCCCAGATGGTAATTATTATAAAAAATGAATGAATTTCTTTTTAACTCTTTAACTTTTACAGTTAAATATAGTGATTTGTTACCGTGTTGGCCTATATAATTTAACCATTTTTTAAATAATATAGTTTTTATATAATATTATAATCATTTTTTACAAAGTTTTTATTCTATTGAATCATATTATATTATTATTATATTTTTATATTTTTATCATTAAATACCTATTATTATTCATATAACATGGTGTTAACAATTATTCGGTTAATTACGTTTTCAAAATTTTTATCATGTAGTTTTTATTACTTCTTCAATCGTGTTCTTCTCCTTGCTGGGCGTTAAACAGTGTTCGCAAATTTTAAACAACAACATTAGCAGAGCTTGTTTACGAGAATATACCTCTTTCTCCATTCTGTTTGATAACACCTTATTCAGTTTCATCTGTAAACACATTAAAACACAAAGCAAATTAGTTATTGTATGGAAACAAACAATAAGTAAAAGTATTCTATGTAGCATGTCTCTATATAATATATAATGTCTACTATTTATTTGTGGAAACAACTTAATATAGGGGGACGAAGTGACCGAGCGGACTAAGGCGTCGGTTGCGACGCGCACCATCGCAGGTTCGAACCTGGGTCACGGGCGGCACTTATCTCTTCTGAAAGTCACGGTGTCTGGAGAGAGGCCGCAATCCCCCACCCGGGCACGGCAGATACGGGAGCTCACTTGAATTTTTCCAAGTACAAAAACGTGTTCCTCCGACCGTTCCCTACCGTCCCAAAAACCCTACAGTACCATTCTACATATTATAATGCCACAATTGCCGAGCTTAAGACTAATAAAAAATAAAATAAAAGTGTGTGTGTTGCCAGTACGCACGCGGGAAGTGAAACTTCTTTTGAACGGTACACGTGAGTTAATATTAATTAATTTAAAAAATGAGAGGAAGTTATCCGGAATTATTTATCGTTGATACTTTTATTATTTTTTATTTTTATTCGACAGATCGATGGATAATTGTTTGAAGTATTGGTTTTATCCAGTTAAAAGGTTTTGTGAGTGAATTAATCAATTAATAACAATTAATTAAATATACTAGATGCTAACTGATATTGGGCTCTCGGTATAGATGCTATAATAATCGATCATTAATTATTCATATTAATTAGTATGGGCCAAGATAGATGAATCTGTTTTTTATTTTGCAACGTTTATATAATATTTATTCGCAGCAAAAAAAAATTCGCTTAACTAAAGTGGCTCACGACCACCACTTACCTCGCAACGCTTGTGCCTCTTAATTTTTTTTTTGATATTATTAATAAATTCACTCACAAATCTTTTTTCAGGATAAAAACAATACTAGTTACTACGAACGATTATCTATCGATCTGGCTAACTTACTTTCATTTTTTGGATTAATTAATAATAAGGAACTGAGAACTAATAAACATTTTGAACGTCAGTACAATATTCTACAAATTTATTACAAAATATTCATTACACACGCTATTATTATTTAAATCGTTTCCGGTTAATCACATGGTAATGAACCAAACAACCCGACCAAATGTCAACAAACGCCGGTATGTGTATTTATTTGTATAAAGGGGGGTTCACACTACACCGTGTCGTGTAAAATAATCACGGTTACCACAGTTACCAAACGATACCGCATAGTTGAATATATTCAACTTTTGACCGTGTGGTTACATTTATGTGCAGATAAAGCCGGGTTCATACTTAATGTAACCACACGGTCAAAAGTTGAATATATTCAACTATGCGATATCGTTTGGTAACTGAGGTAACCGTGATTATATTACACGACACGGTGTAGTGTGAACCCGCCTTTAGTCACGATAACATAATAAGTGTATGGTATGGTATATAATATATACTGTACGAGGAGCATGGTATATACCCTTGTTGTGGTATCCTAATCCAACGCGTTATGGGAGTCGAAGAAGTTTAGAAGTAGGCAAGTAGCAATAACAAATCATGATAATTGAACCCGCTGTTTAGAGAGACGCTGTTTAGAATTTAGATAGCTAGTCCACCGTCGTTCGACAACGATTATGATACGCTTGTTGTACAAATGATTTAAAACGCGTGTCTTGTATTTGGAGTCCATTAGTGGTACAAGATAACATATTATACAAATGCGATATACGTCATACGTGCTCATATTAATAATATTATATATAGAATTCGTACTGGTCGAAGCATCGGTGAGTTGTAATGCGGGTCTAAAATGTTGACTGTGTGACAACAATATCGAATGCACACTTGCGTTGGTATATGCAATATAATATTATACACTATACAGGGTATTATAATCTGGGCACTGAAGCAAAAAAATTTTTGGTGTACGATAATTATTTAAGTACTTTACGATAATATTAGTTTGAGAGTCTGGCAACACTGGCGCGTCACGTTCGTACGCGCCGCCCGTTACATTTCGTTTTTTCCTCACTACCATAGAAGTTTCACTTCAAAAATAAAAATAATATATAAAATATATAAGCGATTGCATTGATTGCAACATTAAGGTGTTTAGAGTAAAAATAAATTGTTATTTTTTTTTATCATATTTTGATAATAAATTATTATTATTAATATTAATAATATATTTTGTAAACGTTTTACTCACTCCTTTGTACATTTGCAGTACGAATGTTGCGTATGAAAAAAATCTTGGTGGTTGTAAAAGTTTCTCTCGTTTTACGAACCACAATTGAATGGTGTTGATGATCATATTCACGTAAGTGTCTCTTGTATCTCTCTATTACATTATTAAATTCTTAAAATTAATAAAAATTGTTAATACTTATCAGGACGATGTTTTAAAAAAACTTACCTCAATTATGTAGAGGGATAAATTCACCGAAGGCTTCATAGCATCTTGGTTGCTAACCACGTGTTCAATTATTTTCAATGCCAAAAGCATTAAATCTTTTGTTGGCGAGTTTTTTGTATCTACAATAGGAAATACAATTTATAATGTGTTCACGTTCAGCGTCTAAACTTGCATATTTTAGACTAAGCAGTTAGCAGACTATCATAGTATCAAGGAATAGTAATAATTATTATTTTTAATTATTTCAAAATATGAGAAACACCTCAAGATCGAGTTTGTATACTTTGTGCGTTTTACATTGTAATTAGGTATGTAAACTGTAAGGAATAAAGAGATTAAATAGGTTTAAGTGTTTAACTGCGAATGTATACCTTTTACTATGCGTTTGGCCATATCGTTTATGTCTTCGGGAAAACAGTTTAAGTCTTTTACGCAAAATTCATTAGGTTGACATTTCCACGACGTACGTGTTTCATCTGAAGTATTATGGTAGTATTTGCTGTCCGGACCGTTATAGGTTTTTGATCTTCTAAGACCGAAGTCATTCTTTGAATCCACCACGCATTTATTTGGTTGGTCGTTCATTATAGGTTTCGATTTCGGTTTAGGGTCTTTGAATTGCACTTTTGGACCCTAAAATTGTTCTTCAATCATTTACACACGTCATAGTTCTAGTTTTTACTACTAACAAAATGTCTACAGTAGTATAAAAGTTATTAAAAATATTACCTGAGTATCTTTTTGTTGTATATATTTCATCTGTTGAAAATTATTCTTATATGCAAAATTATTCTTGTAATCATAACTTTTCTTTGGACTATTAGGTTTGATATCACCGTTTGTATAGAATGTCCTCGATCTTGACAGTGCCGTACCAGCGCTGTGTCGAATTCCTCTGAAACGGTTATCACATTATTGTATTTGAAAGTATTTGATTATTATTAAACTCTCTGAGTAGCTATATATCCATACACACCCGTCGAATATTACATTATTTCTAATATGTAGACACTGAATAAGTATGTGTATATACATGTTATAAAATATATACGACGGATTTTATTAGGTCAATGACGACAGATGCCAATTTAAATTAATGAACACGGTAGTCTACAAGGGTACAGATACACCGTTGTCAAAAGAAATGAATGAATCTTAAATTGTCATCTATTAATTATAGAGATAAGATAACTATTTTAGATTCTGAGCAGACATAATGAATGAATATATTGATTTTACAATGATGTGTGGTTTTTTTTCTGTCATCCTCTTTTGGGGCAGTAAAAATTGTTCTATATTTAACTTTGAGTGAGCGTTTTTGGTAGAAATTTGAATCTAGACTATACTTAAAGTGATGAAAAGAAAAAATATTACCAGTTATATTCGAAATAACCAGGAAATACAGAAAAAACCATATCATGCTACTCGATATTTTTTTTCTAAAAGCTATATCTATCAATATATTTTTGTTAATAAGTAACCATTATAACGAAAAACTTAAGAAAAATCGGTTAGAAACATTTAATCCAGTCCAAAAACATATTTATGTAAAATTAATGAAAATCAGGAAGTTCCACTCAAAACCATTAACCTATTCAACTAAATCGTAATTATATTTTTGGTTTAACTCAAAAATTAATAACCTTAGATACTTTAATTTTTAAATGTTCACCAAATATGTATTTTATCATTATATCTATATAATAACATTTTCAACTCACTTTGAGCTATTTATAGATATTTTAAATTTTCCATGAGTCAAATAACTTACAAATGTTGAAATGTAATAAAGGTTCCTCATAATTTTTTACTATAGAAATTTAAAAGATACATAGTCACGATATTTTTATAAGCATTTAAAGTTCAAATGTTATCAAAATTTGTGAAAATCACTAACATTTGTAAATATTTTTGTGGTATAAAATATATAAAATTTTTAATTTTTATAGCTGAAGATTAAAAAATGTAAAATGAGGTTTCTCATAACTAGTTCATACTATAACCAAAATATCACTGATAATTTTGAGATAAAGTCGGTATGCCCATTGCCAATGATATATTTTTTACAAAAATAAATTCAACCTACCTATTATCACTATAATTGCAATATTAATATAAACAATAAAATATCTTAAGGTGACATACCGTCGCCTCTCAGAATCATTTTTGTTAATATATATTATTATTAAATTAAAATTTAACACACCCATAACAATGACTCACTAGGCACCTACTGAACAGCTGAAGGCTACTTATTTGTTCATCTTATTTTTGTTATGTACCTACTCCCAATTGTGTGGATGATGGGCACATAATAATATATATTATTATTATTATTATAACGAATATTGCGGATAATATTGTAATCTTTGGTATAATTTGAAAAAATGTAATAAATATTTTCAATGCGTAGACAAAAAAAAAAAAAAAAGGTTACATGGAGTATCTGTGGAATTTTCACTTGTCAACTCTTTTCGGAACAGATACATTTGAACGGAAATCAAACTATATAATATTAAGTAAATAAATTTACAATTCATAAACATATGAAATTCCTATTATTTGTATTTTAAAGATGTGTCGATTTAATTTATTATCGTTCGAGCTTTATTACGTATATTTTGTACATAGCTACTTTATAGTATCAAAATTTATATGGTGATTAAGATCAATACAAAAAAACTCACTCTGGTTTTACGCCATTCGCTATGGACTGAGGAGCGGTATTGGAACGTTCTAAGGAGAACTCTTTGGCGTGCACGTTCAGCTTACTGCTGTCCTCAGATGTGTCTGATGCATCTTGGACGTTTTTTGATTTCTGCGGACCGTTGGCTACATATACATTATCACTGTTATTATTTATGTCACCTCGAACACCTACGTCATGCCAAATTCACGCCGTTAATAAAATGGACTTCATGCTGAACACCCAAACACACTAGGTAAGCAGCGGATATTATGGTCCTAAATACCAATTATATTAACTATAGTATGATATACGAGTACAATCAAAACATATTATTTTGTTACTTATTAATATAGATATTATTTTGTTTAATGCTAATCAATTTTATTTCGGCTGCATAACGGTGAACGTTTTTGCTTAAATAATTGACAAAACAAAGTTCTATAGTAATTTTTAAAGTGTACTCGGTGATATTAAAAATATACGTTTTATATTATATAATTATCTATAATTCATTTTCGGTTAACAGTTTTTTGTAATAAACATGTCTTTTTTGTTTATCTAAAATGTGCGAACACGGTAGTATAAAATGTGTGATAAAGCACGCGTGCCAAATGAATTTTTTCCATGGACCAAAAGAAACATTCAAAACAGGGCTGAACTTTTAAATAATACAATATAATATGTCATTAATTTGTTTTGCTAGTGATTGCGTACACGAATTAATGTAAAATGATAACTATACAATCTGTGTCTAAAACCCGTGTCACCAATTATACTTATTTACTTCCATTATCGAATTTGGCAAATCAATCGATGTCTCTATACCTAAGTTAAAATATTTTAAAAAGTAAAGATAGCAATTTCCAAAACTCCTTAACAAATGACACGACTGTATAGATTTTATAATAATTAGGTAATTGGCTATCTACTATTTAAGAAATGCAATAAAAATACATAACTGAATACTAAACTTGTGAAATGTATAAATATTATTATAGAATTTTTTATATTGATATGGCTATCAATTATTCCAAAAAATTATAAACAGTACCAAATAACTTAAATTCTTATATAGGATCATAATATATTGTATAATAGGTGTTTAACTTTAAAATAATCGCTCTGTATATAATATTATGGTTTCAATTTTTGTACACCAAGTTTAAGCGAGTAGGTGGATACAATAATTAATATCTACTTCTGCACTGTATAATGTGTGTGTAAAATAAAAAGTACCTACATTTAACGAGTGGGATTTAAACAGAACAAAAGTATTATAGAATGCATCGCGTAATATTGAAGCAAACACGACAAGGAAACCGTTCCAATTAGGCGGATCAATTTGTTAGTCATAACAATAATATTAATAATAATATGGTAGAACAAAATACAAATTGAATGTGTCACACCATGGAACACAAATTAAAACTTTAAAACTAGTTTGTTAATTCATTAAAAAATTTTCAATGTACTAAATTCAATAATTGCAGTACGCGTGGTGCGTCGAACACAATATAGCGTATACATATTTTATTTATTATATTATAGTATTATATAGTTACTATACGTCTATATACGTACTCGGCGGACGATAGATCGCAAGCGTGGGATGTTTCTTTTGTCCTAAAACGCTGCTGTTACTCCTATTCAAATAGCCTCCCTATAATGGCCAACAGAGAAAAGAAGAATTAAAAAAAAATAAATATTAATAAATTATCGTTGGCATAAACACTAACAATATTATACAATTTGTTATATTAACATTACAATATTCTGTACAGTGCAATGTTAGACCTATATGACTATATATGTATATGTGTATTATAAAATATACATAATATAATATCGCATACGAGATTAAACTAAAAATGTTCCATTAACGAGGAGAGGATAATAATAGGTACTAATAATAATAATAATAATACACAGATATTGTTACGTATTATTATGTCCTCGAGTTAAGTATATGCTGTCTTGTCAAACGTTTTAGGTGTCGTTTGCACGGAACACAATAACGTTCTTATGACGAGTGTTAAGTATAGCATTTAAGTAAAGTATACTCACAGGTACCTCTTGCGTGTTGCTGTGACGAGCAGCGGACGAATTTTGAGGGCTGCAGTTGACGAAAAAGCTCCTCTGCCGGTTCAGTTCGTTTTCCAACTGTTTTTTGGTTTTCGGGTTCGACGGGTTACCCGCTGTAACCCGTTTGTACTTCCGGAAATTATTATTTCCACCGCCGCCGACGCCGCTGCCGCCACCGCCGCCGTTGTTATTATTGTTACCCTGACCGTTATTGGTATTCATATTTCTTATCCTCCGCGCCTTCGTCCGACAACTACTTCTATGCGATGGTTTAACTCTTGTACCTGAATAGCAAAAGGTTTAAAAAGTAAAAAGAAGAATTGATTCGGTTATCATCGGGCGCGATTGGTGGTGTCCAAAATGTTTTCGGCCGGAGGGCCGTGATTTGTCGTGTGGGTATATACCAATACAATAGGTACCTATTATTATAGTATTATAAACATTAAAATCGACCAAATGTCGCGAGCGGAAAATTCTCGTCAGAAATTTCGGATCTAAATATGGTATAATAAAATATATCGTGTGAAAAATAATACGAAACTAATGCATAATTTAATATTATTATGACTACGTACTGTGTGTAAAAAGTAGTCGCCGGACGACGAGGACGGACCGCGAAAAGCCGAGCGCCGAGCAACTGAGCTAACACGACTGGTCGTCGACATCGTCGTCGTATAATAATATTAATACGTGCCAGTATACAGTGTATACCTACTTATTATTTGGCGTATATATATTTGTATAATGTACAATAAAATATATATATATATTATATATGTGTTAAGTACAAGTATATAATATAATATACATTATATAATATATATAATATTATGTGTGTACCCGTACAGAGCAGTTTATACAGAGTGTTTGCGGCGGAGCACTGTCGACCGACGCGGTTAAAACTAAGTGGGTGTACCTACGATGTTGTTACATTTTATGTCGATTGAAAATCCTTCGAAGATTTTCTTTTTTTCGTTATTATAATTTCGGAAGAGAAGCGACATCGACACGAAATAGAAAACAAAGTCCTGCAACGACCATAATATTATTTACCATAACGTCATGTTCATTTCGAGCACTCTGTTGTTGCAGTTCTGCGCGTCGTGTGTAACAAGAGTAAAAAAGTAAAAACATCACTTAACTCCGGTGCAGAGCACACGTCTATAAATAACTGCACGCGCGTCCGACGATTCATTCTGTATGCATTACTTTTTTTCGTTCGAAACAATTTTATTCTATGTACTCGACAAGGCGCACGCGTGCAGGCACATTGACGCAAAAGGTTTCGAGAACAAGTCGACGAGTCGAATTATATTATTATGGTTATTATAATTATTTATTCGGAACGGAAAGTATTGCGCTGGAGGAGGTTGTGCCGTCGGACGGGTCGCGGGCGTTTGAGAAAAATATTTTTGGACTGAGTGACAGCTATATAACTCTGCGGCTTCTATATACAGCGGACCTCCAAAGATTCACCATAGGTTAGGTGAACCTATAATATTCCGACTTGAACGTAAATGGTTAGTGGGGACGAGTCTCGATTTTGATCTGTGAACGGAGTTTTATAAGACGAATATAGTTTCACTGGAATTGCGCACAGAAAATCTATAGGTATACCTATACCGACAAACGGGCATTTTTGATGAAATGCCAGCGATTGCAGCGGTTTTAACCGAACTTGTCTCAGAACCACATTTTATAATTTATTGTATATTATTATAAATTTACGATTTATCGTTGCTCTGAAAATGTAGTAAGTATCGCAAAGCACCTCAACTGTTGACCTTTAAAGAGGTGAATAGCGAAATATATATTATAATATGAATATCGAGTGCCCGACTTCCTAGGTGTGCAAATAAGTATTATGGTCTTGCCTTAATAAAATCTCTCAAAATCTCAAACAGTGAGAAGACGATATTATATAATAGAAATCCTTTGGGTTTGGAGCGAAATATAGCGAGTACCTAATGTACTAGAGTAAGTATATATCTTAGTTTTCCCTTGGAAAAGTTCTTCGTTGGATAAGTTAGTCACATCATAATACAATTTTAGTAGAACAGAAATTTGTAAGCCGTTTGCTTATAAGTCTTACTCAAAGTCTTAACTTAAGTCCTAAAACCACTTGATTTAAATGTATTAATTATGAAGTAAAATCTGAAATCATCTTGATAATCAAGCACATGTGCCTATACAGTAGGTATACCTAATACCTATCTATTTTACAAAAAATAAACACTCTCTATGTCTTATAATTTATGTAGTTTGTTTATGAGTATAATGGTTTTTATCTAAGTTTCAAATTAGTTTCGATTAATGAAGTTTCATACTTATTTTACATATTATAATGATTATTTCTACATATTTTAGTAGTATATTTAGTTATTAGTTATATTTAGTTACTAATTTTAAGTAGGTATGAGGCCTATAATACTCGTGTTGACGTGAAGCGGTCATTTTCAGTTTATAAAAATATATTATTGAATCGTGGTAGGACTTATAAATTTAAATACATCGGAAAAATCGTTGCAAATCAATGTAATTCTGATGTTTAAAATACTTATATATTAAAACTAATAAAATTGTAATTACCTATATATATAATTAGGTTTTGTAAAAACTGTTAAAAACGGGAACAATGGTATTTTTGATAAGTGTTGCTGTAGAATAATTTATTTTTAATTTTTATTTAAGTATTTATTTCACACGGATTATGTCCAATTTATAATATCGTAATATTAATGACAGAAGATATCTATAAATAGTGTATAGGTATCTAATACAATAGTATATGTATAACTATAACTGTATAAGTGTATAACATACAATAACAGCACAAGAGTTAAAATAACAGTAGTTATGATAACAGATAAATAATAATATATTCAATAATATAATTATTTTCATTATAAATTATTAGTTAATGAAATCTAGATACACTAATGTGTTTTCGTTGAAAAAAAATTTGCATGACTACTATAGAGTCTTACAGTGATGGTCTTGTTTTGGTCTTGGTCATGCAGCAAGAGTCTTACAAGAGTCTTGCAAGACCAAGACCAATTTTGATCATCACTTAAGTAAATGAAGATAAAAAAAACCACCGAAAGAATACGTATAATATTCTAAGCTTTAAGGGGGCTGCAGTGAACGTATTTTTCATACGTTTTAGACCAATAAGCGGTGGTAAATTACACATACTTCGGAATGTCCGATTTAAATTTCTTATATACATGTTTGAATTCATTGATAAAATATCTTTAGGCTTCTTAGGAAGTCGATTTTCAATTTTCAATTTAAAATGACCTTAAAATAACCATTTTTTTTTTAGAAATCCCATGAAATTGCATTATATTTGTATTTATTTTGGGCACATATGATTTTAAATAAAAAAAAAGTGATTCCTAAGAAGCATTTTTTTCGAAATTACAATCGAACTTCGGGAAGTATGATTAATTTACTACCGCTTTTAGTAGTTTTATAGTCATGTAAACAAGAATATATTTCATATTTCGCGATGTATTGACATGTGCGCGAGCGTGTGAGAGTTGTTTCCTGCGCGGTTGCCCGACTCGACGTGTAGCGCTTCTCGGAAACGATAATGGATTACGCACCCCAATGTTCATTTACTACTCACTACACATAGATACAGAATTAATTTATATATTATATGTCACATGAATTGCCTAAATAGTACTCCTTAAAATATGCTACGTTGCAGCCCCGTTAAAACATTTGATAATAAATACTGTAATAATACAATTACTTTTTGAGTTATAGTTGAAAAACCAAAAAAATGGTTATTACTAATTAATAATATCACTTTTCGAAAACCGCATTTCAATCCAAGGTCATCCAGAACAATTTTGAAGTGGTTGACGGGACGATCAGACAGGACGACGGACGTTTTCATAATTAATGTAAATAATATACCTAATGTGTATATTTTGTATTATAATATTAATTGTAGTGAATAATTTATTCAGATTTTAGACTCTAGGAAAAGGCAAAAACTACAGTTTTGACCGACAGAGCGAATCCGAGAACGCACATCTTTGTTCGTGTGTTGCGTACTTGTGTGTATACCACAGTTACCAGTTACCACTATACCCGAAATCCGAATGTGACCGTCTACCGATATTTTTTCAAATGTATTCAGAATAGAATAATAGATACTTGTTTAATACCTACTTGGTGTAATTTGTATTTAAAATACGTATTCAAATACTTTCTTTTAAAAGTAGGTATTTAAATATAAATACAAAAACCTTTTAAAAGTATTCAAAATACTTACACAAATACTTTTTTTTAAGTTCGATAAATGAATAATCAATAATCAATAATTCAATCAATTCAGTGACTAGTCGACTAACCACTACTACCTACGCCATGAAGTACTATTACTGAATAGTTTCTTTAATCAAGGTAACCAAACCCTCTTATGTGTCCATCTATTGTGGTTATTGTAAAAATATGTTGTAGGTATAGATTGACAGATTGTACAAATTAAAATAAATATGACAAAAAAAAAAGTTTCAATAACATTAATACAATGTCAATAATACTTAAGGCTGGGCAAGTTAATGATTTTTTTTAACTCAGTTAAGTTAATATGCACCCATAACAAAAAGTTAAAATAACTATAGGTTAACTCAGTTAAGTTAAAAGTTAATTTGTTTATACAACGCTAATGTAGATACTTCATTTTTTTCCAAATCAAAACTAAATCATAGACTATAGTGTTTATACCTTGTACAGTATTTCCATATAAGTTAGATTCAAATGATAGGTATACATTTTTAACTTTAAACAATTTATGATACATATTTTTTGACATGAAAAAGAAATAGACTGAAATAGTGAAATATAATTAAATTAAAAACAAAACAAATTAATTTAACTTACTTCTAAAAATGAAAAAAGAACTCGTTAATTTCACGTTTATTAAAAAAGAAGCTTAGTAAGTTAACAAAAAGCCAAAAGTAACTAGTTAAGTTAAAAAGTTAAAATTAAATTAACTTTTTAACTCGTTAATGCCCAGCCTTGAATAATACCAATATTTTATATCCAAATTATAAACTACTAGTGTACTACCACAGTACCACCCATTAAATAAGAAGAACGACTATTTAAAGATTCAAGAAAAATGCCAATTCAACCAGTGGTGGTCAGTGTCTTATATGCCATGGTATAATATGAGACTATTTGAAATACAAAAAAAGTATTTA